CAAACAAGTCAAAATGGAGAAAATGTAAATTATTTTCCTAGTTTTAGGCAAAATAATGGCCATCAAACATAGCCTAAATATTTTTTTATAAAGTTTGATATTACACTTTTTAAAATAAATAATTTTTTAGTTTTAAATAGATATCTCTGAACAAGACTTGAACTTAAATCAATGATCTATTAACACTTTTTTTATCACTTAAACAACGTCTCGATCGTAACTATGTCTATTATGTCGTCTATTTACATTTCATTAATATTTTTAAAAATTCAAACTTGCAAATAAATAAATATTTTTTTCAATAATTAGTTGAAGCCCCTGGTATCTTTCTTGATTACTAAGGAAAGGAACATGGTAACCTTTCTTGCTGCCACGCCATCCCCAATCAAACCCCAAGTTTGACTTTCATTTGCAAAATCTTTCAGAAATTTCTTTGAATTTGCTCAAAAAGTTGATATTAGAGTTATTTTTTTCTTTTGGTAGAGAATTTTTTATAATAAATTTTAAGAAAAAAAAATATTTTAGGTTTTAATTAATAATTATGCTTAAATTCCGAATGATTAGTACTAAACAATAATATCCTATATATAAACCAAAACACCAAGAACTCACCAGAAACCAGATCAACAATCAAATTTCAATTTCATTCCTTTCATAAACACAAACCCATAAATCAAAATCGCGATCTTTGTCTTTCCCAGAAAACAATTAGTACTTAATATGCAGATAATTAAAGGGGGTTTAGAGATTTCAGATGAAATGTTGGGAACGTTTGCTCCAATTGTTGTTTACTGGGTGTACTCAGGTATATATGTAATGCTTGGTTCATTGGAGAATTACAGGCTGCATAGTAAGAAAGATGAAGATGAGTTGAATTTGGTGTCCAAAAAGGATGTAGTTAAAGGAGTCCTTCTTCAACAGGCGGTTCAGGCTGCCGTCGCCACCGTCCTCTTCGCCGTAAGTCCTTTTTCAATATCGTAAATAGCGAAATACATGTGATTCTACGGGTATGAATATGTAAGTGTAGGTGTATATGGACTTGTATCGTGTTTAGTAATAAATTTCCTCCTGAATTGTAAAGGTTTGGTAAATGTGATGTTTAATTTTCGTCCTTTAATTGGGCTTTGTTGCCGAATTTTGATTATATGTAGTTAATGATTATTTCAGAGGAAATATTTTTCTATAACTGTGTTCATTTTTATGGTGTGATGAAGAAGTGTCTATCATACAAGGATGGTCTAGTTCATTGTATTCTATAGTTTATAGTGAATACTTATACCATTAAACGACTCAGTATTTGGTGTATTGAGACATACTTTTGAAATTTATTGGTTCCTTTAAAGGAATGAATAGAGAGGCAGAAAAGGATTAGTATTCAATCTATTCAAGAAATAAAGCTGATGTGTTGCTAGAGTATTGTTTTTGTTGGTTTTGTTTGTGTTAGTCCTGTTTGATTCGAAGGAGATGCTTACTTTATGACCTAGAGAGTATAACGTAAAATGTGATTATTTTTATGTTTACATGTCTTGTAAGTCTTGGTGGTAGAGAGTTGTACATGTGTAGAATATGGAGCTCGGAGTTGGCATTTCCGAATAGTTTGACGTTTTCAATCTTGTAAAGTCAAGACCTTGAAAGTTCGTTATCATACAATACATATTTCGGGTTTCTTAGTTCTTGATTTAATAGGATATGAAATTATTTCTAAACAAATTTAGATTGATGAATTATCCTTAAATTAACAGTTGCCAATGTGTAAATGAACTTATGAGTCATGAGGAAGAAATACAACTCTAGATTTTCTTTATTGTTAATTAAATGCAATGAATCACAAAGTTGATTTATAGTAAGTTGTATTTATGTCTTAAAATTGAATCTTCGATCTCTCCAGAAAACTGCATTCAATTGTGATATAACAACCTTGACCTAGGATCTAAGTTGCTTAATTTTAAGCAAAACGAGAGTGGAATAAATTGAAGGTGTTTTCAGCTATAAAACACGGCATCATTTTTTTGTTCCCTTGTGTTCTATATTTTGTTTAAAGAGTTGGTACAACATGTTTCCAACATTTTTGACTTTTTGGGATGTCTACGTGCTGATAATGTTAATATCGTTAATATCGAACCTGAAAACTCAGTTTTGACATTTTTCTTCCAAATTTTGATGTTAATACTGATATAACTTGTTTTAAACATTTTATGTTGATACTGTTAAAACAGGGAAAAACTCAATTTTAACTTTTTACCTTCTTCCAAATTTTCTTGTTGATACTGTTATATCAAATCTGAAAAGTCGGTTTAAACATTTGATCTTTTATTTTAGGTTTATATGCTGACTTATGCCGTAAAAATGACTCTTCTTTCCGTGTAGGTTACAGGAAACGACAGTGAAGCTGCACAAGCTCAACCAGCTTCCTTTATTGTTCTCCTCAGACAAATTTTCGTTGCAATGCTGATTTTAGACACATGGCAATATTTCATGCACCGGTACATGCATGTAAACAAATTTCTGTACCGCCATATCCATTCTCGACACCACAGGCTAATCGTACCTTATGCTTTTGGAGCATTATACAACCACCCGTTGGAGGGGCTACTTCTCGACACAGTCGGTGGGGCTCTATCTTTCCTGTTCTCTGGCATGTCTCCTCGAGCTTCTATCTTCTTTTTCTCCTTTGCTACTATCAAAACAGTTGATGATCACTGTGGACTGTGGCTTCCTGGAAATCTTTTCCACATTTTCTTCCGAAACAACTCTGCATATCACGATATCCATCATCAACTCTATGGGAACAAGTATAATTATTCACAGCCATTCTTTGTGACATGGGATAGAATTCTTGGTACTTATATGCCATATTCGCTTGAGAAGAGAACTGGTGGAGGTTTTGAAGCGCGTCCTACTAAAGATTGCAAGGAGAACTGATTAATGTTATTCACTGTTCTGTTCATTGGATGTAATAAAATGTGAGCTGCTATAGCTCTCTCTCTCTCTCTCTCGCCTGATTACCTGAGAAATGTGTATATTGACTCCTTTCTTTACCTGTATGATATATTGTTGTATAATTAATTGTTTTTGCACAGAAGTGTTTTGGGACAAATAATGATAGTGTGGAAGAATTTTCATGGAGGCATTTGGAATGTATTTATTTCTTTCAGCAGTTTGACGACCTGTTTGAGAAGGTTTTGGGTCAGTTTGGTTCCGGGTTTAATCGTGCAATCAAGAGTCTAAATTGATTTTGTACTCGCTGGGTGGTGGTGATATTTGAAACCAAAGCATTTTCCAAAGCAAATAAGTTATTTTGATGCCAATAAATTAACGCCAAGAATCGAACTAAATTACAGTTCATTAGGACTAGTGTCTTATAGCTACCGATTTATGATCGAATATATTAGGTAGAGTCTAAAAGTTTAAATATTCAATGGAAAAAAAAAACCTGGAATAAACGAAGACTATGAACGAAAGAATCATATTTTTGAAATTTTGTAATACAAGGGGAGAATGTAAGCAAATGATAACTGACCTGGTTTTTGTGTGACAATCAGCCTGTTGTTCAGTGCAGAGAAGAAACAGATGGAAATTCAAATTGAAAAGAAAATAAACTTTGGAGAAATAGAAACCATGGTCTAGAATGGCTGATCAGGTACACTTTCAAAATAAAAACTAAACTGAAAAACAAGTATGCCCTGAAATTATTTCTTCAGGCAAGATAACGGTACAATCGTCTATCGGCATTATCCCTCTCCAAGAAATCTCGCTCGATAAGAGACTCGATCCGTTTCTTTATTTCTCCAGGGTTGGCGAGAAAACGAGATTGCAATTGCTTAGTAACCTCAGCAATTATATTGTTATGATCCAGTACTCTCCGGGATTTCATAATTCTTACGATTGCAGCTTCGATCTGGGGCTTCCTGTCCTCCTCCACCCTCTGCCTCGTCTCTTGTTTTTCAGGCTCGGATTCTTTTTGCGCAACTACAGTTCCTATCTTCACCTTGCGAAGTTTGCTTGTGAATTTGTCATTGACAGAAAATGCATCATCTTCTCCAATGTCTTTGCTCATGGGTTCTTTACGGAGGACATGTTTTCCTTTAACGCAGGCTAAGGACTGCAGACACCTTTTCAAATCAGAAGATGGAATCTCAGTGGCCAGCTCGATCTCCTTATAGCTAAGAGAATCAGCATTGTTAAACAGCATTAGGACACACATTTGATGTGTCGAAACATTCAACTCATACTTCTGGCCATTACCAAACGTTGCTCTCAAGTCGGCCGTGCCCATATTTGTTTGCCAGGACAATCTTCGACCTGTGTGGGTCCCAAGGTAATATGATCGAAACTTCTCACATAGAGCTGACATTTCAGCTGGAAGGTTGCAAGTAACACTGGGTTGAGTGGGCCAAGACCCTGTTGTCAGAACCTGAACAACCAGTGTACGGCCATTTCCAAGCTCAGGACCATAGGCTGCATTAAACCCTTGCATAGTGTCCTGAGATGTCTTCATGTCTGTAAACATGCCCTCTAATTTGGAAGTGAACTGATACCCACATTCAGTCTTCAGTTTAACAATCAGACTTCTCTCGGCATCATCAGACACCGTTTTTCCGGACAGGAGTCGCTTGGCCAAATGTTGTTTATAATATTTCTCAAAAACATCTTTCTCCTGCAAGTAACGGAACAACATCATCACCTTGTCAAGAATAATCTCTATGTCCTCCTCTTTGACTCCCTTCAAGCCTTTGCGCAGTTTATCATCCACAAACAATGATATGTACTCAGGTGAACGAGGATTCAAATTTATGAAATATTCAAAAGAAGAGTTCAAGGCATTCTGGAAGGTCTTGTCATTGTTGAAGGCTGAGACTATGATCTTGTCATACTTGTCCCGTTTAGCAAGGAGGCATTCAACAAACTCCACAGGATTCTTTGATTTTTCAGTATCAGTGACAAGTTGTTTACCAGTATCTCTAATGTGAGACGTCATTACATCTCTAATTGTAGAGAGACCATTAGATACCCGGCGAAATAAGTTGTACATTCTTCCCAAATCTTCAAACTGATCATCGCGAATCATCTTTACCAAGCCTGAATTTTCCATGTGAACTAGTCTAAGCATGTGATTGGCAATCATCTCTTTTTCCACAACATTAGTTATCTCGGCTTCACTTTTTGCATCCAAGTAGTGCGATACCCTCTCTATTTCTTCATTTAAACGTCTTTCAGCTTTCTTTAGGTAGTCCCCACAATCACTGCACTCGATAAATTCTTGGGATTCTGCCCTATAGAAATCGGCAGAAACTTCTAGAAAATGTTTCTCAAAATCATCATGGTAGACTGAAGATCCCAAATCCATTAGCATTTTAATTATACTTCTCATCAGTCCTCTGTTAATAACTTCACCACTGCGTTCTCTAAGTATCAGTTCAAGAAGTGTGTTCCGAAGCCTCGTCTGGATTTCAGGGAAGTGAATTACATTGTCCCTCCAAAGATTTAGCCCAAGCTCATGAACGGGGGTTCTGCGAGTGTTTGGTATGAAAGTCCTGTCCATGTACATTAGTATGTCACGGATCATCTGCAGTGCTTTATTGTGATCAGACCATTTCACATTAAGCTCCTCCAAGAATGAACCACCATGGGCAGCCTCTATACATTTTGACATCTCCTGCAGATGGAACGTCATTGTAGACACAAGTCCCGAATACAGTTTCTCCCCAAATTTATGTAATACCATGTTGTAAGCATTTCTGAATCCAAGAAGCTACCATATTAGTGAGAGTCAATAAATATAATACTCAAATATATGCTCTTGAAAGAGAGAGAGAGAGAGGCAAATATATATAATTACCCAACATTTAATATAAAAAAATGTCATTTCACATAATTTTGTGCAGGATATCTAAGAGATGAAAATAAATCAGACAATCTACATGCATTCAACACAGAAATTCAAATTCCATATGCAGGAATGACCAAAATTAAAAGTATTCATTTCGTTCTTGGGTTAAACCAATGAGCACACACAAAAAAAAAACATAAATTGATTACGTTCTTTTTTTACTCATCATTCTAAAATATGGAATTGATCTCTTAAGCACTGGTGACGTCGCACACTACAATAGGTGAAGGGAGATAATCATTAGTTACAAAAATCAGTTTTTGTAACTAACCATTATCTCTCACCACCTATTGTAGTGTACCATGTCACCTGAGTGCTTAGGAGATAAGTCCTCTATATATATATATATATATATATATATATATAAGTAACTAAGTATATTGGACATCCTCAACCTCAAGGAACAATCTCTATAAAACATAACACAAACAGGTAAAGATAAGCACTAGCACAATCTCAATCCATAACTCATACAGTTCCGTATTAGCTTCTGATGACAAGTGTATGACAAGAACTGAATCTTAACACAAGTTCAATCACTCCTCTGATAAATTCCCACTAGCATTTTGTCATAACAAATAATTGTCTTGCAAACATTCTTGACAGGAAAAATTCTTATTCATCTTCCTGTTCCAAAATCTTTCATATCAAACAGGTACAAAACTGCAATTTTTACCAACCCAATCAAACGATACGTATTTGGAGGCCATGGAAACCCAAAAAACGTGAGCATGACCATTTGATGAAATTAGAGGGAAGTAGAGTAAATGGTCAGTACTACTTGAGAATAATTCGTTCTCAATAGTCATGAGATGGTCATCTTAGAGTTTCCATTGCAGAAAAACAGACAATCATGTCCATGAAATTCAAGGTAATTTTGCTATACAAACTAGTCTAATCTTACATAAACAGAAGAGGTCCTGTATTTTGCTATAGTATGTAGCTTGAGAAATGCAGCTCTAACAAGCCAACTAGCAGAAAAGGAGTCTTAACAGCATTTCATTCAACAGTAACAGTTTCAGATATGCGATAATACAAGAGCTGGTGAAAAGAGCTGATAACAAGCCAACTAGCAGGACACGTGAAAAATTATCACTATCTCAAGCAACTTGATCAAAAGCTGCTAAAAGATTTCAGTTTTGAACCAGGAGACCTTATCTTTTTGGGAAAAAGAGCTTTCGTACCGTCCCTTAGTAAAATAACTACATTAACAAGAAATATTCTGGGATATTTAGAGTTCAAACGTGTACAGTAATGAATTCAAGAAACTTACTTTCTCTTGGCACAATGAATTTCTCTGAACATTCATTCACATACATTCTTAACTTAAACAAGGATTAGCTGGTTGTACAGCTGACATAATCTTTTCTTTTCATTTTTGGTAGTCTTTTCACCTGCTTTTCAAGACTTTCTTTAACCTATCTTCCAACCGCATATGGCAACCAACAATACACATTCTCTTTGCAATCTAAGCATTTAAGGAAACAATGAAGCTTATAGTAACAGGTATAACAAGAAATGCAAATCAAGAAAAAGCCCGAGGATAATCCATAATTCACATTGATACAGGGGGTGAATCAAATTTGCATGCAAAAAGATGGTAAGGAAAAAATCGCCTGAATTAGATTTTATCCAGCAGTTCAACCTTTTAGCAGAATTTTTGAACCGGATAAGGACTCTGACGGTAACATGTATCTGTACATTTATCTTAAATCTAGTCACAATGGGAGAAACCTCCTTTCCTCACCTTCTCTCTTGTGAACTAAGCATGTCAAATTTCTAATGTAGGATGTGCAAGGATGCTGAAGTTCATTTCTGAATAAAAGAAACACCCAGGCAATCAAGATAACCCTTCTCAAGTATATAGTTAATGCCTCAATCAGCTACAAAGTCTAATAATAAGCTTGTGACAATTAGCGTGCCTGATGCAAAAACTGTATTAGCAAGTAGAAAAATTTATAGATTACAAAATGAGTTATACATTCCGCAGAAAAAGAAAGCTATTGGAACCAGTGAACATGGTATGAAAAAACCCTGCTG